TGCATCCTTCCTAGACCTGTGACATATCCATAGACATGGTCCAGCAGCATTCCTCAAAGTTAAGCTAGGGTAGTACACGAGGCCTAAATGTCTTTTTTTTTTTTTTTTTTAACTCACACACGCAGGTGCTTCTGGGGGACGTCAGTCCGGTTGCTCGTCACTGGCACGCATGGCCATGAGAATAGTTCAGATAGTCAAGTGTGAAACGGTTTTCACCTTTGCAGAAGCAGATGCAGATCCCAGGGTTCGATCCCTAGACCTTACCTGCACCCGTGTACAGTATCGAGTAGACCCCTGTGTGTTTTGAACCCGCGACCTGTGTTTTAGTGGTGACTGTACCTTGTCATAGGTCCCTGTAGTTGTTGGGGTTCGATCTGTTTAGTGGTGACTGTACCTTGTCGTAGGTCCCTGCAGTTGTAGGGGTTAGATCTATCAAGTAGGGGTTACAGATGTGTAGAGGTCGAAACTGCTAGGCAAGAGGTCAGTAGGTAAGTCGTAGGTCCAGCTGCGTCGAGTAGGCAGTGCGACTGCATCGAGTAGGCAGTGCAACGCCATGCAGTCAGCGGTACCGGTCCAGTCAGTTGCAGTCCAGTCAAGCAAGTACCGTGTGGGACTGTGTGCACCGAGGGCCTGGAGGAAAGGGGCAGACCAGCGATCAACAGAGGTATAAATCAAGAGGCAGTGTTCAGGGATTCATTCATTCGCTGCGTAAGCCATGCAGAAGTGCTGTCTCAAGCAACTTGTGCGAGGCGGTCTGCAGAGCGCCCGAAGTTGAAGAGGGCTGGAAGAAGTTAGCGTAGCTATAGTTAGTGGTGAAGCGGCCATAGCCGCTGTAGATAGGAGAGAGACACAAGAGTGTTTAAGTGTGTGGGGTATTCAGGGTGATCAAGAGTTGAGTGAGTGCGAATGGTGGTGTTGGAGACAGTGTTGAGAGTTGGGTTGTACAGGCACTGAAGCGCCATAGCCTGTTGAAGCAAGTTTGCGCCCGAACTGTTTTCCCGAGTTCCATATCTCTGAGTTTTGAGTGGGCGCTGTGTGCCAGTGTGATTTGCCATCTGTTTGCATGTATGTGAAGCAAAGAAGAAAGCGAGTCTGACTGCATTGGTATCGGAGCTGGTTCCTGTTACTCCATGCGCCATCGCCAGGTCCTTACTCTGGCTCTTAGCTGAAGGCCTCGGAGTTTCAATTTTGTCCACTCTGATAATTCCTCTTTTGCTTTGGTGTATAGATCTGCGAAGAATGTTGACTTGGGGTTATGCTGGAGCTTAAATTCTGCCATGTCGATTGCATCTCTTAGCATCTCCTCCCTTTCCTTTCTTAGGGCAGCTAATTTTCTTGAAGTTTGTGATACTTTACTGCTGATGTCTTTAATGATTTTGGGGAAAGCAGTAAAGATTTCGTCTTCTTCCGCTTTTTGGCAGGCTTGGGTTAGTATGATGTTTAGCTCCGAAGTGAAGGATTGACTGGTAAGCAAGGCGTTGTTGAAACGGTAAAAGCTCTTACCCAGGTATCCTGTTTTGGTGAATCTGAGGTCGAGTGTGATAAGTTTGTGGTCTAGACCGTTGTGATAGGCTGCTCTTTCCACTCTACAGTCTTGAATCGTTCCTACTAAAGATTCTGTGATGAGGAAGAAGTCTATTATGGAAAATGAGGTTCTATTATGGGAAAAGTTTTCCTGATGCAAGAGAAATGTTTCTCTTCAGGGTGCAGGAGGCGGAATGGGTCAAGTAGGTTCTTTCGTGTAATGAAGTCAGTTAGGTCTATGCTGTTTGCTTGTTGAGATGTGTCTGCCGCATTAGAGATTTTATCAAGGGAGAGTTCTTGAACAGAATTCCAACCACCCATTAGAATTACGTGGTTTTGTGGGGGGATCAGGTTCTCAATGGTATGGAGGAAAGGGTTTTTTTCTTGGGGGTTATTGGGGCCGTATATCCCGAAGATTGTTAGTTCTTCCTCCTTATGTTTGATGTCTAGTCTAATCCATCTGCCCGACGTATCTTGCCAATTGTTTAGGACCTGTATGTTGTTGCTTGCCCTTGAGTTCTGATGTAGGAGGATGACGATGCCTGCTGATCCGTTAGGTGTAGCGTCCCTTCGGCGCAAGCGGACCGGTAGTAGTCCCAACTTGCCGTACGGACGATGGTTGCGGGATTTGCAGCGTCGGCGAACCTCACATTCCTCGCAATAGCGTGTGACGTCGCCGAGAAGGCCAGACCACCAAAATCACTCGTGAAGTCGGCCAATCGTACGATTGACTCCAAAGTGTCTGGTGGCGGGAGCATCGTGGAACTCGCCAAGAAGCCGTGTACACAAGTGAGAGTCATTGGGTACGCAAAGAAGGTCCTTCCCCCGCGTGTGGACCAGCAAGTACCCCTCTTGGATCCGGTAGTGAGAAGGCGCCGAATTAGGAGAGGAGCAATTCACGTACTTCTTGCGAAACTCGGGGTCGTCTTGGTAGCCGCAGATGAAGCTGTCCCGCACGTCGTCCCCGATCTCGAAGGTCGAGTAGACTGCGGTACAATGATCCGGACGCCGTGAAAGAGCGTCCGAGAAACGGTTCGACTTCCTGGGAATGTGATCGGGAAAGAAGTCGAATTGGTCGATGAAAGCCATCCAATGGGCGATGGTGCTATTGGCGGTGTCTTGGGTCTTGTAGAAGACCAATGGATTGTCGTCCGTTACCGAGCGGAATGGACATCGACCAAGGAGGAAGTGTCGCCACTGCTTGAGTGCGTGGACGAAGGCTAGGAGCTCCTTCTTGGGTGCATCGTCAATGGAGTGCACGATGGGCACTTTCTTGCTGAAGTACTCGATCGGGTGTCAGTCCACGCCATCGTGTTGCTCGAGGACGGCACCAATGCCATAGCCGAACGCATCCGTAGTGACACGCGTTGGCAATAGCGGGTCGTATATGCGCAAGACCTCCGCAGATAATAGCGCGACTTTGAGAGCCAAAAATGATTCCCGTGCATCCTCCCCGAAGTCAAACGGTCGATCCTCGCATTGAAGCTTGGACAAGTGGGCCGCAATCTTCGTGTATCCCTTGATAAGACGTTGGTAGTAGCCGGCAAGGCCAAGGAACGAACGGACATCCGTGACGTTCCGCGGCTCCGGCCACTCTTGGATGGCTTAAATCTTGTCCGATAGCGGACTGATGCCCTCCGGTGTGACAAAATGGCCCAAGTATTCCAGCTCTTGCTGGACAAATCCGCACTTGTCGCGGTTGGCCTTGTACTTGGCGCGGCGGAGCGTCTCCAACACTCGTCGAAGGTGCTCAAGATGATCCTCCAATGACGGGCTATAAACGAGAATGTCGTCTAAGTAGACCAGCACGAACCGGTCCAACATCGCATGAAACTCGTTGGTCATTGCCACTTGAAAGGTCGTCGGGGCGTTGGTGAGGCCAAAAGGCATGACCACCCACTCAAAATGCCCATTCCGCGTCTTGAACGGGGATTTGTAACGATCGTTCGGTCGAATCGAGATTTGATGATATCCCGACTTCAAATCCAACTTAGAAAAATACTTCGCGCTGCCCAATCACTCAAGAAGATCGTCGATGCGAGGAAGAGGCCCTGCATTCTTGACGGTTTGCGCGTTGAGCTTGCGGTAGTCGATGCACAATTGTAGATCCTTGTTCTTCTTCCTGACGAAGAAAACTGGTGCTCCATATGGGGAGCTACTCGGGCAGATCCAGCCCTTGGCCAACAAATCATCGAGCTGTGCGCGGAGTACCTCAAGCTCCTCCTCGCTCATCCAATAGATGCAACCTTTCGGCGGCACGGCACCGRCCTCAAGAATGATCTCGTGAGAGATCGRMCGACCCGGCACCACACCGGTAGGTGACTCGAAGATGTCGGCGAACTCGTCCAGCAACCGTACCACACGGGGGTCCGAAGACAAGTCCGTGGGTGAAGAGACGGCTACCGTGACGGTCCGTAGGAAACATAGGCCGATTTCGCCGGGCTGCTCGTAAGCACAAGTAACCTGGAATGACTTGGCCGTCACCACTTGGCACCGAATTGAAGGGTGCGGAAGAGGAATAGTACACGGCACTTCGGCACCGAAGGCGCCGCAAACGGTAAGAGTCCGCTGGTGGAAGTTGACCGTGTGATCCGCACTTGCAAGCCAAGGCATTCCCAAAATAATGTTGAAGTCCGTGTCCAAAATGTCAAATGTCACCGGTTCGCATGCATGAGGTGCGAAATACACTGCTACGGCCTCGATTTAGCGGTTGATAAGTTGCTGCGCCCTTCCGTCCGCCAACTTGATCGCCGTTGGGTTTGCCTTCCTTCGAACTTGTGCGCCAAGGCCAGCCCTTTGCATAAAGGCCTGGATCATAAAATTGCGAGACACGCCGCTATCCAGCAAAGCGCAGCAGGACGCTTGCCCAACTTGGATGCGGACATAGAGGAGCGGTGCGTTGTTGTCGGCGTACCGCTGCTTGCGAAACTCGCGGGCCACCTTGGTAACATACGCAAGGATGTCCCCCACCACGACTTCGTCATCCGTCGGCGAAGTTGGTGGTGCATAGAAGGATAAGTACGTGTGAAGATGAGCGCATAATGTTGCGCATTGCGGTCCCGACAAGCGGCCCGTGGTCAGGAGAGGAAGCCATGCGAAATCCTCGAACATGAGCGAGTCCAATACCTCTATGTTGAACTCGCGTGCCGAATCCCGTGAAGAACCACTTGAAGACGATAAGTTGTCGTATCGATTTTCGCATGTGCCTCGGAACGAAGGGCGGTCACCCGCGAAGTGACCGGTTCCGAAGACGTCGAGAGTGTCGCCGACTTACTCCCGGCGGTGCTTAGTTTCCTTATTTGCCTTTGCCTTTCGACGGGAGCCCATTGTCTTGTGGAGATCGTTGTTACACCATAGACAATAACAAAATCTTGTGCGTGCCTTGTATGCTTGCTCGGAGAGATCGTATTGGGACCATGGGGCTGGAGCTGCTGCGTTGGGCCCGAGGCTAGATGAGGTGTTCGTCTTCGTCTTGCCGCGTCCTTGGTCTTTGTCAGGACCCCCACCTTACCGGGCGGCTGCGAGTCTGTCCCCTTCATTGGTGGACACAACCTCGCTAGTTTCGTCGATTGGTGTTGCTGCTGCGACCACAACCACTTTCAGCCGATGCTGATCTCTGCTCGGGCTTGTCGCAGACAAACAATGGAGGTTCTTAGCCTCCTTGTTCGTGACAATAATCTGCTCAGCCTTGTCGAAGAGTTTCGCAGGTGTCGTCAGGGTGTCCTCGACGTGAGTCAAGGCATTACCCAACGCCGGACACGACCTCGAGATGAAGGAATGTGTGATGGCTTTGAAGCCCATTTGAATGTCTGGGACGAATGCCAAGCATTGGTACTCAACAATCCAGTCAACACTTGGCAACGTGCCTTGTTCGAAGACCATCAGCTTGTCCATTGCCTTGATCTCCGACGACTCTACTTGGAACCGCTTATGCCATGCCGCCTTTAGATCATCCCAACTGATCTTGGTATGCAAGTCGGCAGCCACCACTCCGTACTTGGACAAGAGATTGTCCAACCATGCTTGGCACGCACCCCCCGACTGGGAGTATAAGTCCGCGTGGTGCTTGTGTTCTTTGACGTAGTGTAGCTGCAACGTGAGCTGGAACTTGCAGAACCATGGAATCGGGTCTGTCTTCGTCGAGTCGCAGAAGATCTCCTGCGCATCGAACTCGCGCAGTTCCGAGCTCGAGTGGTTGGAGGCAGTACAGTTCCGCTGCTCCAACTGTTGCGTTGCGGTTTGCTGTAACTGCAAGCTGTCCTTGAGGGAGCCGACGTCAATCTCCAATGCCTCGAGGCGATTGGATGTGTTGGAAGAGCTGGCAACGGGGGCGGCGACGGTTTGTTCCAGCTGCTGGAGGCGGCTGGTGAGTTAGTCAAAAACCTGATTGTGTGTCTGAACCGCGTCGTCAAGGTTGTTAATGTCCTCCTGCTGTGTAATGCATGTTGCCAGGAGGTCCGTGAGATGGGAGAGGAGTAGAGCGATCTTGTTTCCACTCTCGTCCAGCTTTCCACTCTCGTCCAGCTTCGCATTCTCAACCTCGGTCCGCCAGTCCGCTGCCATTGTGAGCAAAGCTCGCTCTCCGCTGAATATCTTCTTGCGTCGTTGAAGTCGTTCTTCATCGGGAGCCTTTGCTGCTGCCTCGTCTTGCTGGCGTTGCTGTTCAATTGCCAACAGACGTGCCTTCTCGGTGTCCTCTGCCTTCTTCTTTGCTGCGGCTGCTACTGCATCGGACCGTTGCTTGGCTTCGGTAATCAGAAGCAGCATCCGGGCCTGATAGGCCTCGTCCGTTTCCCTGGACTTCTGATCCATGACGACTGTTTGCGAGCGCAAAAGCATAGACCAGGTCGGGGGCCTCCTGACGTGGTACTCCCTGCTGCTGACGTGGCACTGTTGTCGGCTGACGTGGCAACTCACCAATGCCGCTGCAGGGGATACCCGAAGACAGATAGAGAAGATAAGACGAGAGAGGGCAACAACATAGGTGGGGAGGGGTGGGTGGGGATAAATCGCCAGATAAGGAGCCACTAATCAAAAAAGAAAAGTTTGAACTTTGCAAAAAATATTTTGAGAAAATAAAAATCTCGAGTTTTGCAAGTTCAGTAGGTCTCCCAACCTCCCTTGAAGTGCGAAATTATCTATGAGAAAAAAATTTCGAACTTTCAGACTGCCAATGATTATCAAGTAGTGAAAATCATCGAACTGCGAATAAGAAAAATTTCGGACTTACTGATCTCAGACAAAGTGCAACAGGAACACAACACTGAACGGGAGTGAAAGGGACGAGCAAGGGGAGGATGATACAAGTCACCAGGAGCAAGGCGACGAAGGGCAGGAGCGAGAGAGAATCCTAAAAGAGAAAGTCGTGTAGGCACAAGGGAGAATGCAAGAGGGAGAGTATCATTATGGGACGAGCGCTATCGGGCGAAAATAATTCACGAGACGGTACTATAACCTGAGTGGGCAAGGGGAGGCCCAGAACAAGAGGTACAGCAGAGCGTAGAGGGAGAAGAAGGGGAGCACAGTCGAGGGAGAGCACAATAGAGACAAGAAAACGAAAACGGAAGAAGACAAAGGAAAGAAGACAAAGGAAAGAAGACGGGAAAGAACGAAGGAGAAGAGAGGAGTGGAACTGTTTCAAAGAGGCAAGGTCATGCCCACGTACAAAAGGAGTACTCCCCCACGAGGAGGGGCACCGAAGATCAGGAGGAGCTTCGCTATTTAGCGGAAATGCCAAAGTAGGTCCTCTGAAGGTGAAACTTTTCCTACCTACACTCCTCACAAGCAAAAGGTAAGTCGCTCCTTAACCGAAGATTTCCCAAGCACAGCGGATCTCTACCAGTCTCACCACACCAGGTCAAGACTCCTTTCCAGACCCATCTTTGAAGCTCAATCCGAGAGTAGAGAAAGCGTTCATGTCCATCCAAAAAGCAGAGGAGAAACTCCTACATCCGCTTTCTCACCATCATCGGCCCCTGGAGAGCGAAGTAACGGACTGGAAAGACAATAGTTAGTAGATCTCGACTAGAAGTGAAACCAGGATCAGCCAGATTAGGAAAAGCGATTCTTTCGCGCCCACCCACATCCACACTCCCATTTCCTAATCTCTACAGCGCACCTCACGGACCCCCCTTCCTCCCCTAATATACTCCTCAGCCCCCCAATCCCCACCTTTCCAACCGAACACCCTCTCTCCGAACCCCGGAACAACAAGCATCCTTGCGGCCCCTTCACACACAGGACCCAACCCCCGTCTACACCCTCCTAACTCTACCACCTCTACCACCCCTCACCCACCCGTGCGCTCCTCTTAGCCCCATCGACGCTTATACCTTCACGAAATACTATTTACATTGTCGCGATTACAACCACAAACCGATTTACTGCTTACCTCTCTCCTCGCCCCCCCCTCGCTTTCACTCCCCCAACCTCATCCCATACCCCCACCCGCTGTCCCACCCATCGCCCCCACCTCGAACTTTACAACTTAAAACAACCCCATCCGACCCCCACTCACCCCCTCCTTTTTTTTTTTTTTTTTTTTTCCTCCCTCCGCGGCTATCAACCCCCTTTGTCACTAATACTGGTATCTACGCTTTGCACCATTATCAACATTTCTTATAGATGATTATTCATCTACGAAACAAAGAAGTACCTTCCCTACCAATAATTTTATATATATAATTACTTGTCTCTTCTTCCAAGCGCGAGATCACTATTCCATCAATGCACCGCTTGGCCAACACACCTCATCATATCCCCTCTTTGAAAGCGGATTCCCCTCCCTTTGAGAGACTTTAAAATCGACAAAGAGTTCGTACAACACCAAACACGGTAGCTTGCGCATCTCAGGTTCAATCCCCACAGCCCATGCTCCTCTGAAGGCTAATTTACCTCACGCCTCTCACTTGCGAAAACAAAACACTCTGTTCTCTACCAGCTAGACACAACCTGTTGATTCAGAACCCGGATCCCCAGGTGGGGAGGGGAACCTCTGCGGAATTCTTTCCAGCCCCTGACCAGTGCCCAAATCCCGGGCGGGGAGGTGAACTACTGCCAATTTTTTTGCAGCTAGCCTTCGCACTGTGACCTCTCTTCACAGTCTGGTCCCACCTCACCAACGAGATCTGGACTCTCGTACTCTCCACCATTCCCAACATGATTAAGAAGCAATTGTAGTCCCAACCAAAACCAGAAACCTTGTCCACGGCGTCCAGCCTCTCCATCAGCATGACGGGCACTCAGTCTTCAACCTCAGCGTCAGCACCAGCCACGAGCATAGCAAGTGGAATGGCAAAGACTTTCAATCAAAACGAGCAGGAGCCAAGTCAGGAAGTACCGAATCTAATGGTTAAGGAAACAAGGGTCACGCCAGTCATCTCCACAACTCTAGTCAAAGATGGAGGAGAAGAGGTTGAAGTAGAGGTCTGGGAATACCCCAAGGATCACTTGCCTGTCTTCGATGAGTTCTACGAATCCCACGCAGTAGTCTGCTCCTTTCCAGCCAAACTGAAACACTGGTCTCCCACAGAGAAAAGAAAAAGAATACGCGAAGCCCTCAGGAATTTAGAAAATCTGAGGGATACTGAACCCAAAGTCGCGTACCAGCAGAGAGGCAGACATGCAGTCACAGTGCTCTGCGCTGATCCAGAGTACACAACATACCTGCTCTCAGTGCATGCTCTTTACTGTGAAGGCGCAGTGATCTCAATCTCCAAATGGCGACCAAACAGAGCAGCCATGCAAGATTCCTCAAGGCACAGACAATCCCGGATGAGCAAACATTATTGGGTCCAATTTGACAATTTGACCGACGGTCTGCATGGGCTAGTGGAGGAAAGACTGAAAGACTCATACCCCCAGTGTCCGCTCGTAGAATGGGTCTCGTCCGCCCCTGGCTTTCTTACTCCCAGCGCCAATTCCAGAATTGCCTATGTTGAACTCAAGTCAAGCAACCCCCCTGAATTCCCAGACAAGTGGTTTTTCAGAATGGGCCACGACGTTCGAACAGTCTACATTTCAACAAAATCAAATCCCATGTGCTTCAGATGCATAATAAAAGGGCACATGGGAAATGACCCGCTCTGCCCTCAGAACACTCGTAAGGGCGAGGGAAGAAGGCTCTCCCCTTTGATGCTTGTCGAATCTGAAGCAATGAGGGGGATCTGGATAATTAACGAACCAGCCTACACAGGCTGGGTCTTTGACAATCTCAGAGACACGCCGGCCTAGATTTGGACCCTGGCGGACCCACAACCCGCAAGCAAACCGGATGTGTTCCCACCATACGGGAGCCGATGGCAAACAGGAGGAGGAAGGAGGAGTGACAAAGCTACCCACAAATATGAAAAATTCTCCTTGGGCAACGCCTTCCACATGGAACAAACAATGCACAAGGAACAGATCCTCAGAGAGGCATGGGTATGGAGGCAGAAAAAGCATACCTGGAAAACCTCCAGTCAAGATACGAGATGGAAGGAATCAACAGGAACAAAGGGAGAAAGGGAGACACAGGCCAAATGAAGAGGAAAAACAGAAACGAGGAAGAAGAGACCACAAACTCATCAGCAGCACCAGACTCAAAGAAGAGCAGAGAAGGGCAATCTGAAATCGAAGAAGGAAGCAGTGAAATGCATCTTGACTCTTTTCCATCAGAGAGAAAACCTGAAGATATACAAGACTCTTATGGAGATGAAGATCCAGCCAGCACCCTGGATTGGCTTGAGAAATACATAGTATCTCTTAAGTTACGCAGAGAACTGGACCTGGAAATCCGCCTAGCTCACGCCTGGCATTTGAGCAGCCTTAAAAGGACTACTCCAGCAAGACAACGCAGCTGGTTTTCCGACCTCTCCAAACTCCTTTGATGCACTGCAACCGGAGAACCAGCCAGAAACACTCTTCGCTGAGTTTCTGGCACTTCAATACGTAGGCAAACATGAAGAGGAAATGGTCATTGAAGCACAAGATCCAGCGCCCCAAACAACGGAGTGGCCCGAGTCCTACCAGCGAGAGGTCTGTGCGAGCCAAGAAGAGAGAAATGGGATGAGAGACGTCCAGGACGAGCAAGTTAACGCAGTGGGGAAGAGAGCAACCCCGGCCAATGACCGGGAGGCCCAGAAGATCAGGGAGAAAGAAATGAGAAGACAAATAGCAATTCTGGAGATACAAACGAGATACTTGGAGGACCAAAACCAAGAACTAGGAGATGTCTCATACTCCCTCAACAAACTCGCTGATGAGAACCCCCAGGACCTGGCAACTCAGGCAAACATCGATGCCCACACCCTCACTCCAACAATTCCAATCCTACCATTCCGTTTCGACGAGGCGAAAGAGGAATGACAAATAGCAGTCCGCTCCAACCTGGCCATTGTAACAGCGCAGGACTTAACCCAGCCAGGCAAATGCCTGAGGTCAAATATCTCAGATCAACGCCCCCATGCCTTCTACAGGGCATGTGTTACATCTTCGACGCCACACGGGTCCTACCGGACCCGACTCAGGGCTAGAGGGACACATCAGGGCCTAAAGGCCCGACCTTGGGGGATAACAGGCCGAAAGGCCACGACTTGGACCCGATTACGGACCAGGCCCAAACGACATTTCGTTTTGGGCCTGGCGGCGCCGTTTGAGGCTGCCGCTCTCCGGTTGGACCTGAATCGTCGATCTGGACGGTTCAGTCCCAACCAAGGCCTCGCAGCATTGAGGCCGGTCCCCTTCGAACCAGTACTTAGTACTGGTCCGGCCTCACTTCGAGGCCATCGACCTACCGGCATTCTACCGGTACGGTATGGTACAGCGCACATTAGTGCTGGCGCTATGTTTAGCGCAGGAGCAGCGAGGAGCAGCGGCAGCGCAGCATTAGCGCAGCAGCAGCGAGCG